CCAACAGGAGATGGATGGACACAGTGGCTGCAGTGATGTGCTCGGGCGTGCGGGCCACCCTTTGTTGTGCATAGGTTTCCTTTGAGCTGGAAATGACTGGATGGAACCTAACAACAACAATGCCTGTTGATGTTTAGAAAATGAGATTATGTTTTCTTATCATATTTGGATATTAGGGCTTTCAATACATCAGACATGATCACGTTTCACAGTTTCACTAAATGTGGTTTGCTGGGCCACTGAGTGAAAAGAAACCAAAATTGTCATGAACACGACAACATTTCAGAAATACTGCTACTCATAAAGCTCAACATTCCCCACTGGCTTATTTTTCACTTTCTACTGCAGCCTCTGGCTGCGCCTTGGGCTGTGATCCGCAAGGTCGGCAGTTTGAAACCACAAGCAGTTCCATAGAATAAAGACGGGGCTTTCTACTCCAGTAAATAGTTACTGTCTTGGACACCCACTGGGAGCTCACTCTGAGTTGGCATCAACTGGATAGCAGTGAGTTCAGTTTTTTGTTTTGTTTTGTTTTGTTTTTTGTTATTGCTGTTGCTGCTGCCATGGAGTCCATCCTAACTCCTGGGGACCCTGTATGTGCAGAGTTGAATTGCTCTCTAGGATTTCAAGACTGTGATCTTTCAGAAGAACACCCCAGGCCTGTCTTCCGGATTACCTCTAGGTGGGCTTGAATCACCAACCTCATAACTAGTAGTGAAGCACTTAAATGTGTGTGCCACCCGGACACTCTACGTAATGTTCCATAAACCCTCAGTGCGTACAGATCTATGACAGCAAACCCCAAAAGAGTGCAAACTCAATAAAGCCATTAGCAAATAAGGCTGGGCAATCACACATACACATGATGATGATGATGATGATGATGATGATGATGATGATGATGATAAATACCATTGTTTCAAGAATCCATTTGTTTTCAGTAAGAAACTAGGTTGGCTGATTTCATACCACCCATTGGCAGAGTGGTGATGTTGCCCTACAATTACTTGGAAGGTAGCACTGGAAATTAAGTGACACATTTTCATTCAATATGTCATGGAAAATTGTTGTTATGACAAAATTATCTCTGCTTGCAAATAAGGCAGGACAAAGCAAATTTGAAAGAATGTGATTCGGCTTTAGATGTTGTATCAGTATTGGAGGTTTCAGTAAGATTTATCTCCAATAACCACGTAATAAGAGGAATAAGACTGCTCTTTGAGAGTTAAACTTCAAGATTGTATAAATGGATAAAATTAGAAATAAGCAAAATCATCTTTAAACCACAAATTGGCCTGACTTGACTCTAACTTGATTTCTATTGGAAGAATAAATCATTGCTAAGAGGTTTGGGTTGTCATGGAAACAGAAAAAGGAGCCTACAGAGGCACATTGGTACCAGTTAAGAAGAGAAGTCCAAGTTCACAGCACAGCAAGATGTCTCTGCTGTATTGGAGATCAATGCTGAAAGTTGAAACCACTGGAAATTGTTTTTCTATCTTTGGGTCATCATTAGTCCGTCATGGAGATAGATGAATCAAGCGCAGTCTAGTCACTTAACTCCACACATTCTGAATCCATGCGCATCAAAACAACCTTCTTATAGATGGTTTCCTGAGTAGATTTAGCTACATAGAAAATACTTTGGCTTTGTGACTGGAGTACTTAGGTATATACATTAAGGCTACTGGAAAATAATGAATTAATGTTCTTGTTGTATATACCTGTGTCATGACCTTGGTTATCTCATGCCCTTCGATTCATCTGATTGCTGAAACCAGGAGATTTCCGAGACCAGGACACTCTCGACCAGAGCCTTGAGGTTTTTGAGAAATGTGCAAGGGTGATCCTTCCTGATCTCTTGAAGACAGCCAGTCAGCCTTCCCCTGTCAATGACCTTATGTCAGACACATTTCAATGACATTTGGGGAGGAAGATGCTATGACTTACCTTCTTTATTGTTTTAGTAAGGAACCCTGGTGACACACTGGTTAAACATTTGGCTGAGAACCAAAAGGTCAGCAGTTCAAATCCACCAATACCTGTGGGAAACAGAAGGATTTCTCTCAAGCTGTCTCCCCCAAATATATACCAGACTTAGCTGCTTGAGAATTACCGTACACTTGGAGGTCATCAAGAGTGGATTGGGAATCATTCTCCCTGAGAGTTATCAGCTGTCTAGACCAAGCAGACACCACTGTTTAGCCCACAACAAATAGGGCCCACTCCCTTCTGATATTGTTCCCTTGAAGGAGTACCTGAAGGCAAGCCCGGGGCCAGTCTAGGATGACTAAGCTTAGGCTACCATATCTTGCCACACATGCTCCCCTATTCCCTCCTCCTACTATTGCGCGTTCACCTCTAGGTAATCACCCTCCTATTGCTTGTATTGCCTATGTTGCTACCCCTTTCTATGACATAGGTTGTTATCTGCTGTCAGGGGGCTTGTATGCCTCCCAGGATAGTAGTTGTCTGTTTCATTGCATGAGACACCAGAGAGATCAAACCCGCCCAAGGATGAATTGTACTGCCCCTTTCTATGATGTATGATTCTGTAATCATATCCCCCTAAAGTGATATAATGCGTGGTTAGCAATAAAAGAGAGGCTCCCCGGTTCTCGGTCCGTGGCTGCTCCTGCTCTGGTGGCTGGGTTCCCCCCACGAGGACCATCAAGCAGGGCTGAGGTGAACAATGCTACCATGAATTGTTTCTGACTCCATTTATTCCAACCTCTCCTCTAACTCTCATGCTCTCTATGACTTTACTATAATCTCCACTTATCATCGCTGTACAATTGCACCTACCGGACCTGTGATGATTTGTGGGGTCCCCTCTCCCTCTTACCCCCACAAATACCTCCACAGGAGAAAAATGAGCCTGCCTGCCTTGGAAACCTATGGGACAGTTTACTCTGTTCTCTAGGGTCACTGTGAGTTGGAATCAACTCAATGGAAAGAAGCTTATTTGGTTTATTGTTCTAGTTATTCTAACTTTGCAACAGTGGCAATTTCACGAACATGTAGTAACTACTAGTGAGGAAGCGGCTCAGACCAGAACACCCAACCCAACTCATAGCAACGTCATAGGACAGAGTAGAACGGCCTCTTTGTGATTCCAAGACTGTAAATCTTTAAGAAAACAGACAACCTCATCTTTCTCCTGTGGAACAGCTGGTGGGTTTGAATAACAGACCTTACAACGAGCAGTCTAGTGCTTAACCCATGGTGCAACCAGGGATCCCAGACCAACAGGCTGCAGGGAATATATGGATTTAAAATATACCACAGGAGGAGCTGACACCAAGGGCTCAATAGAAAATAAATGTCTAGAAAATAATGATGGCAACATATTACAAATGTGCTTGAAACCATTGATATCTGGATTGTGACAAGAGCTGTAAAAGCCCTCAATAAAATGTTTAAAAGCTAAATAAGTAAATGAAATATATCACAGCTAATTCATAAAGTGGGCAAAAATTATTACTTATTACATATCCACCATCATATGTTCAAATAAAGTCTCATATTCTATCCTACTATTTCTCACAACATGGAATCTCATATTCACACTCAGAGATACCCTCATCTCTGTATAAGAAGAAATACGATGATACTTGCCTGGGGAAAAACTCAGCCTGGGTGAATCTTGTCTTCCTTGCGCTCAGTTCCAGAGTAATCCCATAAACACATCAAATAGCTTAATTTCCATTTTCTAATCTAATCACAAACTTTAAAATTACTCTGTACATCACACGTGTATGTTTCTCTGTACATTTACCAAGTAGTTTTACTGCTTTGCATTTGGCAATAACTTTTGAATCTTCTTCACAAAGTCCTACTTGCTTCCTCGCCAAGCCTTCTCTGCAGATTGCCTTGCTTTGACTTCACTGAAAAAACAGAAGTCAAAAATGAGGGCAACAAATGTACAAAGATGTTTGACACAATGGATGCATGTATGGATTGTGATAAGAGTTGTACGAGCCCCCAATAAAATGATTTGGAAAAAAAGAAAAACAGAAGTCACTTGATGAGACTTCGCATATGCTCCCATCCATCAAATGATCAAATTTCTCTAGAGCCACTCCTATTTTCTTCTTTCTTTTTTTTATATCAAAAGTCAGTCTCTACATATTTCTGTTTCACTCTAAACCCTAAGAAATACATAAAGCTTTTTGAGTTGTAAATACATACAATGTGACATGTATGTATACACTGCACACACACAGTTTCCCATTTGTTTCTCTTAACAATTTTATGGTACACTATTTTCTGTTTTGTTTTACATGAACAGTTTTTCTGATAATAAAATTAAGAATTTAGAGAAAGGCGAATATATATTTAAATCTTACCGTTCAAAGACAACCTTTGTTAATATACTTATCGTTATTTACACTTCAGAGTACATTTTTTTAGTCATTTTTCGATGAATCTGTGTGTATATCTCTGAAGCATGATTATGGCATTAAACATCTTATGTCATGATTGCATTTCTCTGGTCATGAAGTATTATTCCGAATTTAGTGGCTTTTCAATATCTGTAATAAGCATGTATCGATTTCATCAGTGGACAAGTTTAGTATTATGAATACTATGTATATACATTTAAGATATAAAGAGTATACATAGTTTAATTTTAGCATCTGTCAAATTGCTGCTTGACCCAATTTACACACCTACCTACAAGATACTAAAGTGCTGGTTGTGTGGAGTTACGCGAACCTGTCAGGGCAATCAATTCAAGACTTCCGGAGAGTGGGTCAGGGCAGGCTTTGCCCTGCAGCCTAACTCTAGTTGCATGAGCCCCCTCCTCCCAGCAAGGGGCGCTGTGGCTTTCCGCCAGCGTTGAGTAGCGGGTTGGGCCGCCACGGAGGTGTCACGTGATCCAGATCGCTCCGCGCCGACGGGCGGTCTTGCGGAGATTCGCCTTGCGTACGCAGCGGGATGACGTAGTATGTAGGGGCTGGCTAGCCGCCATCTTGCTTCTTTTTCTCGCTAGCTCTCTACCTCTCTGGAAGCAGGGAAAGTGCTTTGGCAGTTTGTCCATCCGCAGCTTCGACTTTTCTGGCCGGCGGCCCTTCCGGCCCCCCCTCCCCAGGCCTGGTGTCCCCTACCCTTCCCCTTGCTTGGAGTCCTGCGGAGATTGGCCAATTGCGCAGACACTCGGCTGGACACACCGTGGCGGGTAAGGAAGGCTAGCCAGGGCGGCGCGGCCGCGATCAAAGCGGCTCGGTCGGGAAGACCTGGGAGGCGGGCGGCCTGGGGTTTTGTCGTGCTCCTGGGCCCTGGAACTCGGCGAGAAGGCCTCGGGTCTTGACATCCTGTTTCCTCTCTGGCTACCATCATCTCCGGGGCGGGGGCGGCGTGGTGGTGTCTCGGCCTCCTGGTCAGGAGCGGGAAACGGGAGCCTGGCGGGTCCCATGTGGTCTGCAGCGGGGTCTCGGCCTCTTGGGTGCTGTGCCCACCTAGACGTGGCGCGGGCCCTACGGGGGCTGGCCCGCTTTGCCGGGTAAGTGAAGGGAGCTTCCCATCGGGCCACTACTGAGCTGGAATCCTGGCCAGCCCTACTTCCGCTGGGGACGTGCTGCTAACTCCAGAGGGTCCGAGTGGGATTTTTGCACCATAGGCCGCTCCATCCCCTAGCCGACGTGGTGGATCCCACTGTAGCGCTCGCTCGCTCGCTCTCGAGGTCGTGCATTATACTCGTATAGTAGTGTATGGGAAAAAGCCCGCTCTGAAAAAAGGGACACCGATAAAACCTTTCTTCTTTGCACGAAAGGAATGTGTCTAAGCCCCTTTAAAGGGAGATATATTGGTTTTGAAATGATGTAGGGTTTTTGGAGATGTCCGACATGCCTGATGTTTGCTGGTGTAAAAAGCTGCCCGGATTTCCGCATTGGTTGGTTGGTTGGTTGGTTGGTTGGTCGGTCTTCAGCCTAGGTTCGTAGATTCTTAACTAACTACCCAAACCAAACCAAACCCTTTGCAGTCGAACCCATTCTGACTCACAGTGAAAATGGAGGACCGAGCAAAGCTGCACTTTAGGGTTTCCAAAGCTGCAGATCTTTGTGAAGTAAGGTACCTCGTCTTCCTCTCTGGGAGCTACGTGCCCCACCTTTTAGAAGCTGAGCGCTTATCCTCAGCCCCACCAGGGCTCTTTAATACTTTGGTAGGGGTCTCTAGGGGTAGATTATCCTTTGGGAGGCACAAGAAAGATCAGAGCATTCTTGAATGTTAACTGTTTATTAGCTTTCTCTGGCAAATGAAAAAGGTAGGATTATGTTAAGTACCTGCCTGCTTAATTTCAGTATTTTTTAAGTAGCATTAACCTCTTATACTGGTGTTTTTTGAATGATGCACTTGAGCCATTTTTGTGTTACAGATTCACTGCAGCATCTTTTTTGGCCCAGCCCAAATACCTTCATTCCTTAAAAAAACTAGGAGTAGATTGGGTTATTTTTTTCTTTAGAATATGGTCATTCTCTCCTGTAATGGAATTTTCAGAAGATAAGCTATTTATGTTTTATGTGGGGTCTGGTTTATGTGTTTCCATTATTGACTGCTTACAGAGCACAGTAATAAGCCCTTTGTATGTTTTATCTTCTTTAACCCTACATACAGCAAACATATGAGCAAAATGCTATTGTTATTCCCATTTTGCAGATCAGGAAATGAAGTCTGAAATTAAGGTCACTCAGCATTCATTCCTGTGCAGATTCAAACCCAGGTTATCTAAAACAGGGGATGCTGCTTTAGGTTGGGTTCTTTGGAGAAGCAAAACCAGTAAACCTTATATAGGTGCGAATGGAGAAAGAAATTTATATAAAGAGAACCGTTAGCAGGGTCCTATTACAGATGCCCTAAGGCTTCATACTGCTTCTCTGTTCTTTGTAACTTTATGATCTCTAGTAATGAAATAAGTTACAGGGTTACTAATTGGTAACTTTGCTTTTTAGTTTTATATCAGTATATGAACAATGTTGCATGTGAAGATTAAAATGTTGCAAGGTGTGAAAAAGTGGGAATGTGCATATATGTACTTTCTTGTATCTGAAGGCCAAATGAGTGCATAGAGATAATTAAAAACTAGCTCCATAGTATCAAAGAAAAAATTTTTGTATCAGATCAGGCTTATGTCATATAGAGAATATTTCTTCATTTCTAAAGTGCGAATAATAGTACCTCCCTCAGTTTTGTTTTAGCCTTTTTAAAAAATGTACATAAAGGACTGATTTCTATGCTCAGAACATTATAAAAGATTAATAATTAATGTTCGAGGCAGGAAGGAAGAATATTGGTAAAAGAAAATTTTCTCCAAGCAGTAGGTAATTTATAAATAATCTGAATGGAGTGTGTTCTTTGGGTTTTTAAGAAACAATTTTTCTTTTTCCTGATTTTTTTTTCCCTAGAAGACATTAGACATTGATTTTTTTTTTTTTTTTGACTACTCAAATGGGTTTCGTGTTTTAAGGATTTCTTCTTCTTGCTCTATAGGCAGAACTAGAATTAGAGCATGACATTCTGGTTCATTCCAGCCCTACTTTACTACCATCCTGGCAAAATATCTTGGGGTTTTCCCACTCTCCCTCTAAGTCATATTCTCATTTCCCCCCACAGACACGGCTTCAGTCTGTAAGTCAATGGGCAACTTATGTTTCAGATGGTATTTATTTAGAATATTTTTAGAAGGCAAGGATCGATCATTATTAAAATGTACTGGTACAAATTGTTACAGAAACATATTCTTCCAGTGAAGGAAGTTCAAAAGTGTGTTTAACACTCATGACTAATACACTGAGGAAAATGAGACTTGCCACTTTATTAAAAAGGTAACAGTGCATGTTTAACTGAGTCTTAACTGTGATGCTTAGAAGTCCAAGAATTACCGCTTTCTGAGTCATAACAGTTTAAATTCAGTGTTGCCATTGATGCATCCATCAGAATATAGGATAACTGTAGTAAATTTCTGTTGGGTTTTTTTCTTCCTTAGAAAGGCTAATTATAAATTGATCTTTCTGACAGTTATGTTTGTAGTCCTTCATTTCCTCCAGATTAGTAGAATGCCAGTCATGTTTTAGAGGCCTGTTTGTGCATGTATTTCCCTGTACAAAAGCTATTACTTAGTTTCAACAGGAAACCTTTGTCTGAACACAAATAGCAATAAAAGTATTACTGTCAATGTAATGTACTCACCCCTGTAGGGTGCTGCTGTACACAACAGGAGGGTGGGATATAATCAACGTCTATGAAACGCTTCTAGTTTAGGAAAACACTGCTGAGTGTTATGTACATAGCATACTATCTAGTAAATTTCTGTATACTTGTCTGTTTTCCAATATTAGTCTGTTTTCCCTTACTAAACTTGTTTCCATCCCCTCATCAACTTGGACAAACATTTTTGTGTACTGGGAGTGTGTTGTGTGTTTTTGAATAAATGAGGGATAGACACAAGGAAACACTCACTTCTGTGATTCAGTAGCTGTGATCTTACTGGTGCAAGAGAATACCCTGTCATTTCTCTTCTTTACTTACCCATCACAGTAATATAGACACTTTCAAATAGTTTATGTGATTAATCTGCATTGTGAGGTGTATTTGAATCAGATGTTTCTTCCTTGTTTTTTAACATTGTCCTGACTGGTGGTTCAAATCCACTTTGCAGCACCACAGAAGAAAGCCTGGTTGTCGGCTTCCTTTGAGATTGCAGCCAAGAAAACCCCATTGGACAGATCTACTGCATGGGGTTGCCACGAGTCAGAAGCAACAGCAACAGGCTTTTGATAGTCAATAGGAGGACTATATGTCTTTTGGTTCTCATTCTTCACATTCTTAAAGATTCATGTTAAAAGTTATTGTTGTTCACATACTGTGGATGAATGGTTAACCTGAGGGAATAAGGCTTCCTTTTCTTTAGGTTTTCGTTGAATGCTGTCTCAGTCATAGGGATATTAGCAGGAATTGTTCTTAAAGTCTCTTTTAAGTCAAATTTTTAGGTATTTAGCCCTACTTCAGTGTAAGAACAAGAGAAAGATGTAGCAATTTCTTTCTGTAAAGATTTCACCACCTTGGAAAAACCTTTGAGGGCGGTTCTACTCTGCCTACAGGGTCACCAGAGTCTGAATCAACTCAACAGCAATGGGTTTTAGTGGAAGACAATGCTTGGAGCCTTTTTCACTGATTTAAAAGCTTTATGTAAAATTTATGCTTTACGTGCACTAAGTGAAGGTGATTGTGATGAAGAATTTGTTCACATAAGGTTTAATTTAGTTCAGTCATTTTAAAGTGTGGGCCAGTTTTCATACTATTCAACGTCAAGTGTCAATTGTTGGGAAGTGGAGATTACCTGTACAGTACTCTAAAAAAGAGCTCTGGACTAGGTTTAAATCCTCTGGTCACTTTTCAGTTATTAACATAGGGCCAGCATTACATTTACATTTTAGATGTATGCAAACATCACATTAACTGTTTGAAACTTAAAATACCAGATCATTTAAGTTGTTGAAAATAAAGATTATGCTTCCTCCTTTTGATGAATTAAAATTTAGATTTTTTTTGTAATATGACTATTTTAGTTTGATCAGGATTTTAAGTGGCTTTTAATGTCAATCTTTAAGCTTAGTAGATCTTTACTGAGGTAACATGATATGGGAGATGCAGTTACTTCCAAAGGTTAGAGAAAGGGGACAGAAAGGGATTTTATGTGTAGATCAAGAAAACGAAGGTATTGAAATGTGTTTGAAGAAGGGGATATTGGTTATGTTATGGGGTGTAGTTTTGCTCTTTAAAATTTTTTATTTACATTTAGGAAATTTTGTTATATTTTTTACAGTACCGTTCTGAGTTTTACTCTTCTAGCCCTCACCACAATTAGAATAAGAACATGTTCACTGCAGCATGTCGTGTGTGTGTGTGTGTGTGTGTGTGTGTGTCCCATGCTTCAATTAGTATCCTCTAAGAAACAGTTTTGTGTAACTTTTGGAGAAATATGAAGCATCTCCCAACTTTAAATTAGTCTTCTGGCATTTTAGAGTCAGGAAAGCATCTCTACTTCTGAATAGGAATGCAGTCAAGAGAAGCTGATTACTTGGTCTTCTGGTCAAGGAGGGGAAAAAATAGTCCAGTTATGTTAATGAGAATCTTTAGGTAAAAGCAAGACAGTCGATGAGGGCAGACATTTCAATTATG